TCTACTCACAAAAACTTCAACTCAGAATTCATCCTGCCTCCAAGATGTGCAGAAATAAAGACAGAGCAGAGATCGAGGGGATGTGCAACCAATGCCTGGCCCAACCTGAGACCCACTCCATGGGAGAGAGCCAATCCCTGACAGTACTGATGACGCTCTACTGTGTTTGCAGATGGGAACCTGGCATGGCTGTCCTGAGAGGCTCTGTCTAGTAATGGATAGAAACAGAAACAGACTCCCAGCTAAACAGTGGGCAGAGTGTAGGGAGCCTTGTAGAAGATTGGGGGAAGGATAAAAGGACCCAGAGGGAAAAGGAGCTCCAAAGAAAACCAACATTCCCAACTTACTGGGCGCAGAGAGGCTTATGGAGACTGAAGCACCAAGCAAAGAACATGCATGGACTAGACCTAGGCTCTCTCCGTATATACCCAATGGTCAGCTTAACCTCCATGTGGGTTCCCTAGAAAGGGGAGCAGGGGCTATATCTGACATGGTCTCTGTTGTATGCTTGTAGATCACTTCCCCCAGTGTTGTTTCCTTGCCAAGACACTGTGAAAGAGGAAGTGCACAGTCCTGATGTGACTGGAGGTGCTGGGGTGGGATTTGGGGGTTCCCCTTTTCTGAGGGGCAGAGGAAGAGGCACAGGGAGATAAGGGAGGGATGGATGGAAGGGATCAGGAGGAGAGAAGGGAGGGTGCCAAGATTGAGATTTAAGAAGGATGACAATGAATAAAAAGAAGAAAAAGAAAAGAAAAAAACCTAACAAACTATTAAAAAAAAACCCCACACAAAAACATGGGAATAAGGAGAGACTTTTTTTTTTTTAGCATATAAATAACCACGATAGGTTGATTATCTCCTGGTACCAAGACATAGGAATAAAGAAATAGCCTCTGGGATACGTGGTGGGAGAATTTTTGAGTAACAAGCTAAGAGAACATTGAGTGTGGTGGGACCTGTTATCAACGGAAACGTCAGATATGGGTGAAAAAGCCTTTCTTCCAGAATGTGTAATCAAACTAACGGTTAAGATCAATGAGCCTTTTCCCCTTCTACTTCACAAAAGGCTTCTGCCTTTTCAGAACCGACCTTAGAGAATGTTTATGCTGTGAACCAAAAGGTGTATGCTACTGCCTTTTCTACAATGTGTATTTCACTGCAAATTACAGTTGTGATGCTAACATGTCTAAAGTTTTATCTCCATTGTAAAACTTAGAAGGAATTCCTGTAAGCTGCCGGAAATCCAGCTGAATCCATCTCTCAGGTCATTTGGGCTCCAGATAAGTACTGCACCTATTGCCTGTCTCAGAGGGTGGGATTCCTCCCCTTTCTCTGGTTCTGGAACTTCCCTCTCCTGGCTACTCATTGCTACAAGCCTACATCCAACACTGGTTGATTGGTGGTGAGTCTTCTCTTCTGGTTGGCCTTGATTCCTGGCTAGATATCACTACATTCCTACACCCAACACCAATTGGTTGGTGAGCCTTCACGTCTGGTTGGCGCAAGCACTTCCTACTCCTCTCGCCAACCTACATCCAAGCCCTTCATCTAGGACCTTCTTTTCCTTTGGGTAAGATTTTCCCTCCTGATTGGAGTTTCACAAAGAGAGCAACAGAAAAAAACATCTGGGCTCAGGGGTCTTTTCTGCGTCTGATACTCCAACCAAGGACATGCATGGAGATAACCTAGAAGCCCTGCGCCTGCACAGATGTAGCTCAGTCTCCAAATGGTCGTCCTAGTAAGGGGAACAGGAGTTGTCTCTGATATGAACTCAGTGGCTAGATCTTTGATCACCTCCCCTTGAGTGGGGAGCAGCCTTACCAGGCCACAGAGGAAGACAATGCAGCCAGTCCTGAAGAGACCTGATAGGCTAGGGTCAGATGGAAGGGGAGGGGGACCTCCCCTATTAATGGACTGGAGACGGGGCATGGGAGAAGAGAGAGTGAGGGTGGGATTGGGATGTGATGAGGGATGGGGCTGCAGCTTGAATACAAAGTGAATAAATTATAATAAATAAAAAATTGAAAACAGTAATAATAATAAAATATTTTCCCTTTACCGGCATGGTTTCTCTCTCTTCCCCTAATGCTCATGTTCAAAATCCTAGCTAGGTAAATCATGTCTGCTATGGTCAATTGTGCTCCTGGTCTCTGGTCAATGCTCATGAGCTTTTGGAACAGATTGTACCATACCACTCCCATGAGTCAAACCTTGCTCTTTGGATGCCTTGACAGGTCACTGACTCCTACCTGCACAATGGGAAGAGTCCATTTGTCTCTTTCTCCTGATTCTCCTCTGGGATGTCTTCTGCAGAATTTCAGAAGGGTCTACACCTACACCCTGCTTTAAGAGCCTCTAAGCTTATACACTTCTGTAACCAAAGTTGGCCTCAATTTCCTTTGATTACAAATCCAAAGCAAAACCTTTTTAATTACTTCCAGTGATTAAGTAAATGGAGGTTCCTTCAGAAAAATGGAGGTTCCCATGTTCAAGTCTCTTTGATCTAAACCTTTCACCTCTGTTTGCTCTCCCAAAAGTTTTAGATGTACACCTAAAGGAATTTTCTCCATAAGCCACTTAACTTTGTCTTTTGCCTATGTATATGTTCCAGTATCCTGCCAGACATCCAGGACAGCACTAAAATAGCCACCACAGCTGTTCCAGTCTGTCCTCACAGACTTCAGTCAAGCTAGACCTGCATTTTCCCTCCCAGCCATGGATGTTCTCATAGACCCTGGACAGCATTAAAACGGCCTGTTCTTCCTGGACTTGGCCAGCATTTCAGCCTTTTGTCCTCCCTACAGCACCTCCAGTGTCAGCAGGAAGTAGCCAGAAGGGAATCTGCACCCGTTATTCACTTATTATTAACAAAAGCCTGGACTGGTGTGCTTCAGGCCCAGGACAAGTAGCTCCAGGTTCTCCCAGCGTTTATCAGTCCCTACCTGCTGCCTTACGTGGCTGGCAACTCTCTGCTGGCAACCCTTCACCCTGAACTTTCCAGGGAAGGGACTTCTTCTCCTCCTCCACATGTAATCTGAACATTTTGTTGCTATTACTTTTTTTTCTCCTCTCTTTCTCTTACCCTCTTGCATGGCAACTAAGAGCTGTTTCCAAGAAACCTACATTTATATATTTTAACTGGCCTTACATGAGAATCAGCCCAAGCTCCTAATTTTTTAATTATAGAAAAAAAGGAGGAATGTCAGTATTTAGGAAGCCTGCTTCTGGGTTGCCTAGCAACCTATGATGTCACCATGTATCACCTGCTAAGTAGCCACACCTGGCAGGTGTGGTTAAGTTTCTCCTTAAAAGGACCAACATGCCACTTCGTAGCTCTCCTGCCTTCTTACTCTCTCATTCTCCTGATCTCTCCCCTTTCTCTGTTGGAGTGCCCGCTCCCTTACCCCTCACTCTGGTCATCTCCACCCAATAAACCCATTTCATATAAAATCTGTGTGCATTATTCTATCACTGGTCCTAACAAGTACTGTCAAAGTATAGTCACAAGAGTCACAATTAAGTACCAGTTTCCTCACATTCAAAAGAGCCACAACACAACAAAAGGCACATCACAATACCCTTTCCGTTTCATTATGGCAGTTCTGAATATGGAACAAGTACCTTGCTTTTTAAATGTACGTGTGCATATTTATGCATGTTCATATGCGTGTGCACCTGTGTGTGAGTGGCTGAGGACTGCTAGGATCCCAACCTGGGACAAGCAGCTAACTGAGGGGCCTATTAACAGGCTTCCTGGCTGGCATACCCTGCCCCCTACCCTAAACTCTCCTGCCCATGGACTGAGCTGGGCCCCTCTCCCCAGCTTCTCTTCCCTATAAAACTCAGCCTTTTTGGCTAGATGGTCCTTTTGGTCTCCTGGTTTCTTGGCTCACCCCTGGGCCTCTCTGTTTCTGGTTCCTGTGCCCTCTCCCTAACCCTCAGCTATGGCCTTGTTTTCTCTGGATCATTCCAGGCGCCTCTGGCCGTGCTCCACCTTATTTCTATAAGAAATATTTTAACAACTTAGGAAGAATCACGTCTTCCTTTTTTTTTCCTTTTTTCCCCATTCAAGGATGACCTCAGAAATAAAATCTCAGTAACACCATCCACTTCCTTTGAGACAGGGATTTTTCCACTCATGGGTCTGGAAATCTTCCTCAGCATGGACTGGGATAGACAAGAAGCTCCCAGGGATCCACCTGGCTCTGTTATCTCAGTACTGGGACTGCAAGCATGGATCATCACACATGACATTTCCAGGTAGGTTCTGAGCATCAGTATCAGGTCCTCATGCTTGGACGGCCACCAAGCACTCTACCCTCTCTCAGCCCTCCCTGAACTTCTTAATATTTACTACATTAATTCATAACATCTAAGTTCTGGCCATTTAATCAGCCTCCTAGAAGCAGTTAAATACATGAATGAAGCATTATACAAACTAAATAACTCACAGAAAATTTTGTAAGGAATACTTAATTTAAATTAGGTTTACAGATAAATTCCTCTGAGGTGGAAGAAATTTCCATATTAGGAACTGAGCAAGTGATGGGAATATTCTTATCAGAGTTTTCAGAAACAACTTGAGGCATGTTTCTCAATTTCCTCTTTCATTGGAGGAATTTTTAAGTGCCTTTAGTCACATGACTATTGTGAATTATTCTATGTGTGCAGTGTTGGCCATCTGTGGGTACATTTAGCTCAGAGAATGTAGAAGCCAATTGGAGCTCTGCCAGGTCACTGATTCATATCACAGAGAGAGAGAGACAGAGAGACAGAGAGACGAAGAGAAAGAGTGAGAGAGTAAGAGAGAGAGGAAGAGAGAGAGAGGAGGAGGAGGAGGAGGAGGAGGAGGAGGAGGAGGAGAAGAAGAAGAAGAAGAAGAAGAAGAAGAAGAAGAAGAAGAAGAAGAAGAAG